ACTAGAAAACTTTAAAATGAGTAAGCATCAGTTCTCCAATTTTGTTCTTTTTAAGTATTGTTTTGTCTATTCTGAGTTCCTTGAATTTCCATATAAATTTCAGGATCAGCTTCTCATTTTTGGCAAAAAACAGAAACAAAAAGCTGAAACTTTTATATAGACCATGTTGAAGCTGTAAATCAGTTTGTGAAGTAGTCCCACTTTAGCATTAAATATTCTTCTCCATGAACATGGAATGTCTTTCCATTTATTTAGATCTTCTTTAATATCTTTCAACAGTGTTTTGTAGTTTTTGGTGTAGAAATCTTGGACATCTTTTGTGAAGGTAATTCTTAAGTATTTTTTATGCTATTTAATTCAAATTGTTTTCTTAATTTCATTTTGAACTGTTCAACCCTAGTGCCTAGAAATGCAATTGGTTTTTGTATATTGATCTCATATCATGCAACCTTACTAAACCAATTTTAATAGCTTTTAGTGTATTCCTTAGGATTTCTCTATATATAAGATCTTGACATCTGCAAATAGAGATGTTTTTACTTCTTCCTTACTAATTTGGATGCCTTTTAAAAATCTTTCTTGCCCAATCAACATGGAGAGAATTTCCAGTACAAACCTAAACAGAAGTGTCAAGAGTGGACATCCTTACTTTCTTCCTGATTTTAGGGTGAAAGCATTAAAATATTTCATCATGAAGTCTTATGTTACCTGTGGGTTTTTTATAAGTGCTGTTTATCAGGTTGAGGAAGTTCCCTTACATTAATTTGTTGAGTGTTTTTATCATGAAAGAGTATTAAATTTTGTCAGATACTTTCTCTGAATCTATTAAAATGATCTTGTAGTTATTGTTTTTTATATAGATTACATTAACTCATTTTTACATGTTAAACCTTGAATTCCTGGGATAAATCTTATTTGATCATGGTATATAATCCTTTCAATATGTTGCTGGACTCAGTTGCTGCTATTTTGTTAGGAGTTTTGTGTGTGTATTCATACACAAGATAGCCTTGTTTCTAATAGTGAATAATTTGAAACAACCTCAACGTACGTCAGTAGGGGAGTAATTATGTAAGCCAAAATTTAAATGAAAAATTAAGTAGGGCTATACACACTCACATGGATTGATCTCCAAGATATATCATGTTAAAAAGTATAATATAATACAATAGTCATAATGTTATTCTTAATGTTTATGTAAAATATAGATGAATATAAATGTTTTTAATTTTCAGAGATATATGTATATATCTGAATAAATATACATCAGATTGTAGTGGAAGTTCCCACAAGGAAGGAAGAGGGATTAGGAAGACATGAGATTTCCCTATATTATAAAATTCTTAAGAGAAAATATACATGTGTATTTGTATCAATTTAAAATGCATAAAGCTTTACAAAAATAAAAATTCACTGATACACATAAACCCATGTCCTAACAATTAAAAGTCCTGCTAGCCCATGACACTATCCTGTTCTTCCTCTTGCACGAGCCTACTGCAAGCAGCTGATACAATTAGAACTTTGTCACATAAAAATTAGTAATAAACTTAGAAAATCAGAACAAAAAAAAAAAATTAGAACAAGATCTATCACTGCAATAGGAAAGGGATAAAAGACAGGAGAACAAGTGAATGAAAAGAAAATACCACCAGCAAAATATTGCCAGGGAGAAGATGAAAATTGTGACCAAATATTACTTCCATAAATTCCAAATACAGATTAAACAATAGCCTCAAAAAAACAAGAACTCATAACTAAGATACAAGACCTCAGTGAAGATACAATGGAGCAACAGAGGGAGATGAAACATGATATGGCAGAGCTAAGGAAAGGTGTCAAGGAAGAACATTGATACATCACAGAAACCAAGTTCATATGGAAGCAAAAGGAAGTGACATCACTGATAACACAAAAAGCATAGAGAACAGGACTGAAGAAAATGAGCAGAGCAAAATGGAAATGAACAAAGAATCAAAAGGGGAAGAGACCAAATGAATATAATGGAAGAAAAATAAAATCAAGCATAATTTGGTGTCCCCCAAAAAGAAAGCAAACAAATAGATCAGAAAAATATATATTTAAGTATAATAATAGTATAGCCTCATGTCCCAGGAAAAAATTATGCTAAACTAAGACTAGCTTAATAGTTAAAAGATTTTAAAGATAGGACTCTTTTAAGCATTCAGTCCAAATTTTAGGTCACCTAATAAAAACATCAGATTGGCCTGTCTTCTCCTCACTGACATTCAATGGAGCAACTCATAACAATGGGCACAGAGAAGAAAGTATGAGCCAAGAATTTTATACCTGTCAAACTGACATTCAAGTATAAGAACAACAAACAGCATTTTTTTTTACTATATTACACTTCAAAAAATATAATTCCTACAAGCCCATCTCAAAGAGCACATACTTGAGGCAAGTACGAATTTATTAAAGAAACTGGCAGAGGGACACATAATGAACATTAAATTAATTTTTAGGTCCAGATTAAAACAATTGCAGGAATTACCTTAGCAAAGGATAAATGTCATAAATAAATACAGTGTAGGATTCATATAATAAAAGTTGAAAGGAGGATGTAAGAAAGTGGAGCACAGTGTAATTTTTCCTCATCTTTTAGTATCCAGGGATTAAAATATTTCACTTACCAGCTGACAAACTACACAGTAGAAATCTAAATATAATTAAAGGTTTACATGAAAACATCAGGATAAAAAAAGAAATAACAATTAACTAAAATGTATTGGTGAAGGAAAGACAGAACTAATATACTGACCCATGTGCCATGTTAGTCATGCCTAGTATGATTACAGTTCAGCTACCCTGAGGTCTTCAGATTGTTTGGAGGAAAAGAAACAATATGATGATTATCAGTAGATGCAAAAAAGCATTTCACTAACTTCAGTATCTCTTTGTAACAAAAGCTCTTAAGTAGGATAAAAGAGAACTTCCTTAATCTGATCATTGATATCTGTCACGTTATCACAGAAGACATCATTTTCAGTGGGAAAATTTTGGAGTCATTCCTGTGAACATCATGAATAAGGCAAGGATGCCACAATTTCATGTTGCATACAACATGGCTTTGCAAGTTCCAACCAGAATGGTAAAAAGAAAAGAAAGTGAAGTCATAATGATTAGAAAGGAAGAAAAAAAACTATCATATGAGCAGATGTTTCAATTAGCTTTACAGGAACCCAGCCAAAATATACAAAGTTTTATAAATAATAAGAGTGTTAGAAAGATAGCTAAGTACAAAATACATCTTTTTAGAGAAATATATGTTCTACAATAACCTTTTGTAACTTGAATTTTGTACTTGGGCACACACTGCTTAGCAAAACTCTCTTTTAAAGTTGTCCCTGATCTTTTAAAACTCCATACAATATCCTATTCATGTAAAATGATACATGTATTTTTATATGCATTAATAGATGCTAAAAAGGCTAGTCACCAAAATATTACTTTTTTAGGGGTTATTTTCTATAGTGCAACATGTTACTGGTTGATTTCGATTCTTTCCCTTCTGTGGTTCGAATTATCATGTACTATTTTTATAATAAAAATAAAGTTATTCTTACTGTGAGAAAATGAGGAAATAAACCAACCCATCAAAAATAGATATTTCCATAATCTCTACATAGTTGGGCTCAGAAATCTCTCATTTTTAAAGCTCCCTTGCTGACTCTGATGATCACATTTAGGAACCACAGGAGAGGGATTCATAATCTAATTCGGGATCATCATCTAAATTGCTGAAGCAAACACACATAACCCTTGTCTAAAACCCAAATGAAAATCAAAACAAAACAATTACTGGCCTGCATTTCAAAATCTCGCCATTGTCCTGGCCTCATTCATTGACAGACACAGTTAACCAGGCAGCAGCCAGTTGCTGACCTCCGGCCTGGCAGCCTAGGTCATACCCTCCCTGAATCTTCATTATCCACCCACTGTCTTCATTATCCATGCCATGTGGGGTCAGAGTATGGGCAGAGGAAGGCCCCATGCCTCTAAGGGCCTCCTCTTTTAGTTGGAAATACTCAAGGAGATAGACAAGAGGATGCGGTGGGAGAGTTGCAGAAATGCCCAGAGGTCAGTGGAAGCAGGAAATGGTGAACAACATGTTAGGAGTGGTTTTGTCATTGGGCAAGTAGCTTAGCTTCTGCTAGCATTCCAAGAATTTAGGGACAGCTCAAAGTATAGCAAAGCCCAAAGGAACCTAAGTACAGCGAATCCCTAAGGAACTACAGATGAAGTGCTGAGGGGCACTCAGCATCTGTGCTCCAGGGAGAGGCTGTTCACACAGGATTCTAGGCTCAGTCTGGTAGGGCTGCTGTCACCAAGTACCACAAACTGAGTGGCATAAGCAACAGACAATTACTGTCCCATGACTCCGGAAGCTACAAGTACAAGATCAAGTTGTAGGCAGGGTTGCTTCCTTTGGAATGCTGTAAGGAAGAATCTGCTTCATGCCTCTCTCCTAGCTTCTGGTGGTTTGCTGGCAACCTTTGGTGTTTCTTGACTTGTAGATGGATCATCCCTTCAGATGGATCTCTGCTTCATGCTTACACGGAGTTGTGTGTGCATGTCTATGTCTGCTTTCCCCTTTTTATAAGATTAAGTGCCCACCCTACTCCAGTGGGATCTCAATGGGTTATATCTGCAAAGACCCAATTTCCAAATAAGGTCACACTGTGAGGTACTGGGGATTGGGGACCTCAACATAAGAATGGGGATGGGGAAGACACCCTTCACTCTCAACGTATACAAATGGTGCTCTCTGGAATTTGGGCAGCCAGAAGGTTCTGACCATAGAAGAATGCTCCTTGTTAGTTGAGTTGATCTCTCAGAGTCAGACAAGCCTGCAGGCTCCAAAATCACCCTGAGGGTGGGTGTGGGGTAGGGTGGATTTTGGTGGGACACGTGGTTCTATGTGGGCCTCTGATGGAGTGTGGAGGTGTGCTTCACCTGTTCATTATCTGTCACCGCAGGTTATATCGAAGCTGCTGTCATTCCAGCGGGAGCTCGGAGGATTCGAGTGGTGGAGGATAAACCTGCCCACAGTTTTCTGGGTAAAAAACAAAAAATAATCAGACTCTTGATTTATGTTCTAAGATTTGGATGATCAGGCTGATTATTTGGTCCAGCATCTTTCTCCCTATAATGATAGAAGTAATCAGAGTACACCACACAGTGCTGTCTCTATTTGGCTAAAGTGCAGGCACCCTCAGGGTGGATGGGTTGGGGCCAGGGGTGGGGATTAGTAGGAACTACCAACTTCAAATAGGATGGAAGATGACAGAGGGAAGGAAGCAAGGAATTGGGATAGTGAAAATCTCCCAAAGTCACCGCAGGAGAACCCAGAGCAGCACTAGCGTGCACAGCGTGGTTACATTGTCCAGCTTACAAGAAGCCCCTAGAAGCTGTTGATGGCTCTGGGGATGATTTTTTAGCTGGAAAAGAGAGTAATAGCCCTAGATCTAATGGAAGCACAAAAGAATACTAGTTTTCACTAGGTGCTGTGTACCCCAAACTCCTAGCAGCCAAACTCTATTGACTTGAGGCACAAATGCCTATGTCTCTGTATGGAAGGATGGGGTTCCATTCCAGATTGGTCTTCATTGCCTTCAACAAAACCACATTCTTCAAGCCTAAGAATTTTTCATTTAAACCCCTTCTTAGGCACAGAAGTCCCTCTGAGTGTATCCTACACTTAACACCCAGACTCTCTGTTGGCACTTGCAAAGATCTGGCTGGTACTTAGGCACCAGGGTAGAGTGGTGTGAGGGGACCCCTAAGTGTTCTTTATGCGGTTATGGGGGCCAGCAGAGTGCTCAGCAGCTGCCTCTACTCATAGTTCATGGGGATGGGATATTCTGTGACCCATGTCCTCCCGCCAGCCCTCCTCCTGTGTTCCTGTCTTGGGTTGGATTTCAAACTGGAGATGGCTGATCTCCTACTCAGGTACCCTTCTCCTGGGCCTCCCCCTATTATAATCTCCTCAGTCTGTGTTGCAAGGTTCTATTTGAGATTGATAAAAATATATAAGACATGATCTTCTTGGCTCTTGGCTGTTTCTACAAAGCAGTGGCCTTTTTACTAAATTCTCAAAGAGCCCACCCCCTCTCTACCCACCTAAGGAAACTAAGTCAACCTCACCAGCTTTTGCTCTGAAAGCCCTGTCACCTCATGCCCCCCCCCCCCAAAAAAAAGTTACCCTTTCCAACTGGTACATCAGCCTTTGCCTACCTGAAAGAGACATTTCTGCTCCCTGGGGGCACTGGGCCTTGGGGGGTGGCAGACACTGCCTTTGACATAATCTTGGTATTCCTGGGAGCCGGCACAGTTCCAAGATCACCTGATTGGTTCTTCTATCAAAACACCAGTAAGTAAGCCCTCCAATTGAGTCCCTTGGCTTCTGGTGCTGGCTTCTGAGACTTCCAGCACCATTCCTGCACCTGATCCAGCCCCAGCTTTCTGTCAAGAATAGGAACATCTTCAAACATATCTGTTTATGTTCATTTTTATATGGCCATTCTTTCCTGTGGCCATATAAGAATGACAGAAGGGTATCAGAATCCTTTAGTTTGCTCAACTTCTGATTCCTCTAGTAAAAATGGACTTTTTCCTGGAACCTGTTTTAGGGCCATGTAACTAGTGAATGCTGCCCATGGGGGGCTAGCTCTCCTGTTAATTCCCCTCAGCTTTTATAGTCTGTGGGCCACATATACAGATGGCAGTAACATTGATATTTGTGGCTCCCAATCATTGAGCCGTGCCCTGCTTCACAGACCTGACCTGTCATCACCCCGAAAGTACCGCAAAGTATTGCTTTGCCTGTTTCAATGAGAAGGAAACTGAGGTTCTGGGAGTTCCATAGCTCGTCCAAACTCCTCATTTCCTCCAGGTCCATGGCAATTCACAGAGTCTCCCAGAATTGCTCTGATGCATTCAGTCACAGGCAGAGGTCAACAAGAAGGGGATGACTTTTCACTGGCGAACACGTGTTAAACTTGCCCATTGCTTTTACTCCTTTGTGTGGACTTCAAAGAGGCAAACCTCCATCCCAAGGAGATTGGTTCTGGGTCTCAGGACAACTCCCCTAGAAGCACTGCACCTCCAGGGGGTGCTGGAGCCAGCTCTTGTCTTCTTATTTTACTCATGAATTTTAATCCCAGTATCCCAGGGCCTGGTGTGTGAGCAAGGGCAAATCCAAAGGTAGCCCCACTTGCTATGTTTCTAAAGTCAGTTCAAACAAGCCTTGTTTCCACTCGGGGCCGGGTGCCTTGGAAGTCACCCCGGTGTAACTTTGAATCATTCTCACATTTGCCGGGAGCAGTTCCTGAAGAATTTCACCCCACCTACCTTCAGCCCACGCTGCCTGGCTTTCTGCTCAAAACCACCTGGAACAGGAAATGTCTCTGCAGTTTGCATCCCTAGCTAAGAACAGAATTGGCAGAAATCCGAGTGAAAATAAAAGGAACTGACTGGATGCCAGGATTAGAAGTAGGTTGACTGCGGGTCAAGTCTTCTAGCAGAATCCAAGGGGAGAAAGACAGAAGCCCAGCTTCTGCGCAGTGCCACGCAAGAGGAGGGCATGGGTGGGGGTCGGACCTCTCACATCTGCCTCCAGCCGGCTGTAAGGAGGAACTGTGCCCCACCCGCCCCCACCCCGCTCCCCAGAATGGCTCATGACCTCTTCCCACTTTGACTGCCAGTCCAGGGACGATGTATAGACATCCACAGGGAGAGTGAAGGGTCCCAGGAGAGAAGCAGACATTTGCCACCTGACCTCTCGTTCCAGGCCATTAAGGAGGTTTTGTTCTGCCACAGTAGCAAGAGAGAGCATGTGCCCATCTTCATCCCTGCAAAAAGTCTCTCTAGCTGCTGAGAGGCTTCTGATGGCTTCTAAGCCAAATACACAAAAGCTGGCACTGTGATATTTTGTACAGTGACTTAAAACATCCAGCCTCTGACCCAGACAGAACCAGCAGGTGAAAATCTCCTCCCCAGCAAATCAGAACTTTCAGACAGCACAGGCCAAAGCAGGTGGCTCAGGACTTCCCTTTGTTCTTCACTTTATTATTTGCCCATCAAATCAAAGCATTCATAATCACTTCAATAGCTCTTGTTGAATCTCTAGGCCTAAAAATCCTAATTTCAAGTGCAAACTCAACACAACCTGCTTACAGCCACAGGGCACTTGCCTATAGCCATGAGGCCGCAGGACCGAGAGGGACAAGAGCTCATAGGACCCAAAGCCTTAACTCTGGGACCTTCTGTCAAAAAAAGAATAAGAATACAGCATTATGTACAAGGCCTTGGAAATGACTCCTGCAGGTGGGCCAGGGAGCTTTCACCCCACCAGCTGTCACAAACCCTGCCGAAGGAAGCTCACTCTGGGTGGAGGCTGCTGCAGTTGGGCCAGGCTGTGGTCTGCGTTCTCACTGTCTGGAACTGACATGGCCCCACAACATGGATTTCTCATTGGACTCCACACTGAACCTGCGTTTTGGCTACTAATCATGACTTCAGTGTTCCAGCAGATTCTCTGAGATGGCTGTCCCACCCTTCTGAATGAATCTCAGGTGCTAAATCCCCATTAGAGCAGGAAGTTCTAGTGTCACCACTGGATCCCAGCACTTTGCAAATTTTGCATCTTGCTGAGTGTATGACTCACACAAAGTCAGTAGACTTGAAGCGATCACCATGCTTCTCAGAATTTCTGAGCTCCTACTTTGAACTCTGTGCTTTTCCTACCACTGAGAAATTCATAAAGGATTGACACCCATATCAAACCGTCCTGAAGAAAGGGTGCCAAGTGACCGATGTAAAGCTGAGTCTACAGGGCATGGAAGCTTGCAGCCACCCGTGGAAGTGGCCACAAGCAGAGCTTGAGCATATCAAGTTTATTCTCTGTAGGGACATGAGAGCTCTGCCCACACTCCCAAAGCTGAGATAGTGTGAAACTTCCCCAAGTCAGCAGCTCCAGACCAGGCCCACCAAAGCAAAGACAGGCGCTCTCAGAACTTGAGGGTGGGGTGCCCCAGCAGTGGTGTGTGTGGCTTGGAGGAGCTCTGCATTGGCTGAGGTCACGCGGATTGCTTGAAATCCACCTGCTGGGGGCATTTACACCTTGGGTAGCAACAGGCACTATAAACCAAGGCTGCTTTCCCTAGAGAGCTGGTTGCCAGTGCTCCACTGTCTGATGTGTTTTTCCGCATCCGGCCACTGACCTTGTTCTGGCCTAGCTGGCCAGCCACAGACTTCCACTGTCACTTCCCCTCCCCGTCTTCCTTGACTACATCCATTCCTCCAAGGCCTCCCCAGACCCATCCTGAAGACCACCTCCGGCAATGTCTCCTCCGCCTACCCCTCTCAGCACCTCTCCCTACTGACAAGCAGGACCCTGCTCTGGTGAGCAGAGGCTGACATACCCCAAGCCCCAGCTGGCTCTGTATCATCCCTTGTCTCGGACACAGCGGGCGCCTCTGCTGACAGAAGCAGGGCTCCCCAGGCTGGCCCCCACACCTCCACGCACTGTTTCTCTGGATGGTTTTATAATCGCCTCCAGGTGCGCCCTCCTGCACTTTTTTCCAGTCCTTCCCACTCTTGATCCCCCCAGATGTTTGACTTTTGGCACAGAGGTGGGGTAGCTCTCAGCGTATAATTCACTGAGTCACCCTAAAGGGCCTTACAGAAAAGGCTGAGGAAACACACAAACACAAGGTTGAGTAAGAAAGAGCCACCTCATCCTGAACATGAGTGCTGGCCAGGAGCAGAGGCCCAGGAGACAGTTTAAGGCATAGATGGAGCATCCCAGGCCTTCTAAATCTCAGGTACAAAGCTTACGTGGTTAAGGATCATAGGGTGTTTCCTCTGCCCCTATCATGGTTAGTATTTAAAAAACAAAAACAAAAACAAAACAAAACTCTGAAAGACACATGTGAAAGCCAAGCCCAATTCTCAGTTGTTGAGCATCAGCTTCAGGCCCTGCTAGAGCCAGGAGCTTAAAATGATATCCTGGGAAACTCTCTCTCTCTACCCTGGCACTGCTGTCGTCTCTTAGTTGACTTTAATCTGGGGGCCTCTTCCCATGTATTGGTAATCCAGACTTACATCGAGTCTCTGGGCAATCCTGTGGAAAGAAAGCTTCTTCCCAAGGTGAACAGAAGTCTTGGAACTGACTCTCACTGTCCAGGGTTGAGTGATGGGCCCATGCCTGGAGCTGGGGTGAATTTGGGGTCAGCCCGATATGACTAGAAGAAGAACATATCCCCAGAGGAAACCGAGTTGTTGGTACTTGAAGAAAGAGAAATAGATGCCAGGCAGCCAACACACCATCCACAGCAGCCACACCATGGGTCAGGGCCCCAACTCTTAAACCCCAGGCCCCAGCCCAGGGCACTGAGTGGGGAATCAGCTGGTCTATGTGGGTGGCCAGTGACAAGGAGAGCAGCCACCCTAGAGTGCCTCTGGTCTTTGTGAGGGAAATGGGTTCTGTGGGGTGGGGCCTAGCATGGTGGTGGTGAGCCGACAGCTCTAAAGAAACTCTACCCATCTCCCTGAACCCAAGTTACAGCAGGGTCTCAACATGCTCACACCCCCCATCCCAATAACAAGAACAGTGAAACTTCTCTCTCCTTCGCCAGCCTATAGAGTCACTCTTCATCTTGCCTCCTTTTCCCAGCCAGACTCCTGGGGGAAAAAATTCCTTCACCTCCCACTTGCTTCTCCACACAGAGCAGCATGCTTTCCTCTCTTCACTGCCCTGACACAGGAAGAACAGTCAGGGCCACCCAGGTCAGGATACACAGTCCACACCTGCCATGCTCTCCCAGGCCACCTCTTCTCCCTGCTTTTCTTGCCACCTCACCTCAAGTGTACATCTGCTTTTCCTCCAGAAAGTCTTCCCCATCCACCCCAGTCCCTTCACACCCTCCCTCCACCCCCAGCACACATGTACTGGGGCCTCTGCCACAGAGCCTATGAAACTGTCCTGTGTTCATCTGTTTTCACACCCATCTCCCTTCCAAATGTTGAGCTCCCCGAGGGCAGGAGCTGTGTCCTCAATACCCAGCTAGGAGGCCCTGAGAAAAACAGGAGGGACTGACTGGCAGGGGCATGTGTCAGCTGCTCCCTGTGCTTCCCTAACCATTCTCTGAGGACTCTGGCCCCACATTGTGTCTGCCTGTCACTCCCCACCAGTCTGCACTGATTTCTGGAACCAAATTTAAATATGTGTGTGCAGGAAACAATTTTCCAAACCTACAAAGAAGTAGAAAGAACAACCTGCAAGTTCTGTTATTTTTATAAGGGGTATATAGAATGTGAGACCCTGCAACAATGGAATGTGTTCTCTTGGAAAACAAGCATGACACTTGAACATTTTCACTTTTGTCATAAAAGTCAAGATTGAGCCTTATAGCCTAAAGAATATGGCAATATAAATTGCCAGAGTTATAATCTGTTTAGATTCAGGTTCTCCCTCTTTTTTTTTTTTAAGATTTTATTTATTTATGAGAGACACAGAGAGAGAGACAGAGACACAGGCAGAGAGAGAAGCAGACTCCTGGCAGGGAGCCTAACCCAGGACTTGATCCCTGGTCGGGGATCACACGCTGGGCTGAAGGCAGATGCTCAACCGCTGCTGAGCCACCCAGGCATCCCGGTTGTCCACACTTTGTAGCTGTGTGATTTTAGGCAGGTAACTTAACGTCTCTGTGCCCTCATTTCCTTACCTCATCTGTGAAAAGAGGAAAAATAATGCTTTACCTTGGAGAGTTGTTGGGAAGAGTAAATGGCTTACATTCTTACTTCCTTTTCATAGCCAGGAAATTTCAGTAGCAGGTAGCATTTCTTGGAGGGAACATTTGATTCCAAGTCGTAGAGCCTTCTCTTTTCTAAGCCTTCCCTGGAGTCCTGTAATCCTCCATCACTCACTCTGCACAACCACCCTGGATATGAAACCCTGACTGGAAGTAGCTCTACTGGAAAGAAACCCTTCCTACTTCTTTCCTAGTTTCTCTTGGCAGTTCCTAGAAGCAAGGAGTCCTGAGCATGCATCTCTCCTGCATGTGCCAGGAGAGCCTGGCTGGGCGCACTGGGACCAGAATGTCCTAGAGAGGAAGCAGAGGCCCAGCGTCCCCCAGCTGCCTGTGACCTGACCGGGACCAGTTCCAACCAGGTCCTAACCCAGCCTTGGGGCTCATGGATTCAGAGCTAACAGAAACCCCTTTTCAGTTTCAACTCTTATTATCCAAAATCGGTATTAAATGCGGGTGTTTTATTTCTGGCCTCGATGGGCAGAGAAGAGGGAATGGGATGGATCCTGATTTCGCTGGTTGTGGACTGAGCAGGATCCCAATTGGGAGCATTTGGGTTACTGGGGGCTCCAGCTGTACTTGCAGCTGTACTTGCATTGCACCCAGGGTGTCCTTGAAGTTGCATTTTTTGAGTGACAAGACTTGTTGCCACCTATTGTCATTTGCGACCTTCTCCCAAATATCTTTTAGTTCTTGTCTTTCCTAAATAACAAAACAAAACAAAAACAGGGTTTCACTGTAGAATGCTCTCCTCATGAGAATGCCATGACTGCTAGGCAAGAGAACACAAGAAAGCCACTGTCAGCACTTAGATAATCAATATATGGCTTATTTGGAAAACCAGATTCTTGCTCTGGCCGATCAGCAAACTACTGACTTTGTCTCTTCCAACACGTTTTGTATGGAGTGGAGGTGTGAGCCAGCAAAGCGTGAACCTGAGGACTGCTGAGCCCTACCCTCATAGCGTTGTCTGAGTGCTACTATCCCATCTGTGGGCAGCTCAGGTTCCCAGACTCTACCATTTAGGAGAACAGCAAGTGTTTCTTGGAGGAGTGTCTCCTTTACTAACACAGAGCTATCAAATCCTTCAGAGAAGCTGATTAGGCTGTAACTGTACAAAGCCCCAGGTAGGTAACAGTAAAACGAATTGACGAGTTTTTCTAAAGCAGCAAAACCCTCTCTGTAGCCTTGGACACATTAAAATAGAATGCATCCATCAGGCCGAAGACCCTTTACCCTGGAAGTCTGGTAAAATGTGATTGGGCTGTGTATGTCTCCATCCTCTAGCGCTCCTCTCCACACCCCCACCAGGCAAGTTGATCCAGAGACAGGCCATGCGCCAAGGTTTCTCAGAGGGTCCTGCAGGTCTTGAGCTGTTTGCCCCTTGTGAGCCAGTCTTCCATTCTCAGCATACAGAAAGCTCACCAACCAGTGCAGACCTCCCCCCTTTACCCTGTAGAGGGACATCTCTGATGCACCCCTCAGGACAGCCAGATTCCCCTTAAAAGGCAGACTGACTCCCCCTGATTCCATGGTGTTCCCTTTTCTTTCCAGCCCTGAAAGATACCAATAAGAGATCCATCAACAGTGACTGGAAGATCGAGCTCCCCGGAGAGTACCAGATTGCGGGTACAACCGTGCGCTACGTTAGAAGGGGCCTGTGGGAGAAGATTTCTGCCAAGGGACCAACCAAAATCCCACTGCATCTGATGGTAACTTGCCATGCTTTTGCCTTCATCTCAAGCCTGAGGCTGCAAGGGGTCTTTCAGTTCCCTTCTTTCCAGGGGTGCCAGGGAGAGATCGCCTGGGTTCTGGTGGGTGACCTGGCCACCTGCTGCTCAAGTGCATGTGCACATCCCCCACTCTCTTACTAGGTCTTCTCTTATCTCATCCCTTTTGCTGCATGCCTGAGAATATTCCCCCTCCCCAGACTTCGCCCTGGCAGAAGAGCGAAGAGGGCAGAGCTCCCATCTTTTTCAAAAGGAACCACCTCCAGGAAGGAAATACTTGGCCATGTGGCAGCCAGGGAGACTTGGCCCCATTAAGCAGACAGCCTCACTCAGAGTCTGTGTTTTTATATCAGATGGCACAGATCCACCCCACACTCTGTGTATCCACACTGGAAACTACCTTTTGGAAATGAACCGTTGACTCGGATTCCAAACCAGCATCACTCAACTTTTCCAGACTCGGCTTTGCACCAAGCATTTGGGAATCAGGAAAAGGAGAACTGGGTTCTACAGGAAAATTTACTCCCTGGGTAGTTGCACAAAACCCATGCAGCCAGGCCAAGTTGGGGTACCTTATCTTACCCCTTGTCTCAGGTGGGGGGGACCCCATGCAAACCACTTTAACATGGGTGATTTTAATGAGTATTAAAGCTTTGCAGAGAAAGGAACACCACACCTTCTTAAGGCCCAGGAGTTCTCATGGCTAACTTCTGATAGCTCATAATTATTGATTCCATGTCTCATTCCAAAGAATGGGTTCTATGGTAGTTTGTGCATCTATAATCAAAGCACATTTTGTCCTCCATGCTTGCCAAAATCTCCCCTTGGAAATTTTTTTTTCTCCATTAATTTGTGGTCTCTGGCAACCTGCAGCCATCCTAGGTTAGGTGACACCCAGAAGAGTTGCTGGCCACTTTTCAGGGAATCTCCTGAGAAGACCAGCTCTGCCTGTGAGCACTGGCAGCCAGGCCACTATCATGCATGATGGCCCTACCCCCACTATAACCTCTGATGAGAGAGCAAAGTGAACCGGTTCCCATGCATGACTTCAACAATCCAGAAACATTCGGATGTTTCAATGCTACATTCGGCCTACTAAGTCCGCGGCAGATGTAGCCTTGCAAGTTTGATTTCTGGGACCCAAGAACCCATACCTAAGCCACTCCTCTGTGATTAGATTATGTTGTATGGCTTTAGAACAAATCCATCCTGGTTTAAAAGGGGTTAAAAGAGGAAGCATGTGACAAGATAAAAGCCATGTAGCAGTGTCACGTGTGAGTGCATGAATCTGGTTTCTCTAGCAAATCCTAAGATGGGTGTATTTGCCTTTTTTGCCCAAAGCTTTCATAAACTGTGAGGGAATCGTCAGCACATTAAAGCAAATGCAGGGCCTGGATTCATTCATACCATGCCTGATAAACAAAACTCAGCTGAAGTTCTGACCCTCTTTGATATTAACCACTTGTCTCTCTTGAAATGTGGTTACTTCAAGGTCTAAAGTCTAGAAATGAGAGGTGCCCCTCTGCCTTTAAATAGAAGCTTATTGTCCCCAAACTGGGGTGCCTACATGGCTTGCAGGGTCAGGAGAACGCATAGAGCCATGGGACCTGCATTTGAAACCAATTATACACTCACACACACAAATTATACATGGCTGCAAAATTGCATGAAATTGGTTTCATATGGATTCTTGATTCACCAGTCTTCTTCCCATACTGAGATAATAAAGATCTGTTAAAGAGGGTTTTTTTTTTTTTTTGAACTGGAGGCATTTTTCCAAATGTGTTATACTACAAGTCTGTTTCTTAGAGAAGTGGATGTTTATGTACTTCAGGCAGCTCTGAGCACCTCACCCCCACCCTGCAACTCAAGCCTTTGGCTTGAATTGAAGCACTGGGAGATTCTCGGGAGCAGCATGGGGGCCTCCCCAGGTCAAGGCAGGTGGAGCACATGCTGCCTGTAGTTGCCTGCTGCATCTCCAGGCCTGGAAGTGAACTTGACAGCTGCCTTAACCCAGGAGTGCCCACTGGTCCCAAGTCTAGTCTAAGGACACAGCACCTCCACCCAGGCTCCCATCAGAGGGCTGATTTTGCACCATTACACTTAGAGAAATAAAGCTGAGAGAGCACCTCTGTCCTTACAGGGCTTGTAAATGCATTACCAAACAGAGTGCAGATCCATCCATCTGCTCACTCACCAGGACTTCAAACCCAAGGGTCCCCAAGCTGCAAGATAGCTCCCCACCCCTTCACTCTCAGCTTTATGCCTTGATCCAGGTCTCTGCCACCCTCAGGGCATCAACATCATAGCCGCTGCGGCAGCAAGAAGGCTCATGCATCTCAATGACTCCTCAGCAAAAGTCCCCCAGATCCCTGTATGGTGGGCTGTGTTTGCCCTTGAGCCTGTCTTCCATGTAGCAATGGCTGATGCTAGGGGCCTGAAGAGTTATGTTCATTTTCAAAGGAGTAAAATAACCCCACCTGTTCAGATGCCTTTTTAGGTAAAAGCAGCATGCTTGTGTCCTCTTCGCCCACAAGGGCAGCTCCCTGGCGGAGGATGTGGGAACAGGTTATTTTCTCGGAGTTGGAGCAGCTCTCTCTGGAAAGTGCAGTGAGAGCCCACAAATTTGCTCCCCACTCCCCCTCCCCTCACCACCCAGAGTCCTCCCTCATCTAAACTGGTCCTCTCTCAGGTGGGAAAGAGCAGAGCTCCCTGCTGAGGGTTCACTTAGACTCCTGCCCCTGAGCTGAGTATCTGAGGAACCCAAGAGTGAAATAAGGGAACCCCCCTAGACCAAGCCTGTTTTGAAACCCAGAGAAGACCTGGTGACCCTGCTAGAGAGACTGCCACGGTGCAGCTTAGCTTGCCAATTCAGCAAGCCTGTAAGCTTCCGCTCCATTTCAAACTGGCCTTTGATTTTACTGCTGATCCAGGTGCTGTTATTTCATGACCAGAATTATGGAATCCATTACGAGTACACTGTTCCTGTCAACCACACTGCTGAAAATCAAAGTGAACCAGAAAAACCCCAGGACTCTTTGTTCATCTGGACCCACAGTGGCTGGGAAGGGTGCAGTGTGCAGTGTGGAGGAGGTGAGCATCCGAGGTCGGAGACCCATTGGGTGCGGGGTCTTGCCAAGGGAAGACGCCCTTCCCAGGGCATTGGAAAGGCTGGCCATGCCACCTGCCTCTCCACAGGAACTTAACACCCCACTGCAATTTTTTTTTTAAGATTTCATTTATTTATTTGAGAAAGAGAACAGGAGTTGGGAGGGGGGTGGGTGTGAAGAGGGAGAGGGAGAAGCAAACTCCCCCACTGAGAAGGGAGCCTGATGCAAGCCTCGGTCCCAGGACCCTGAGATCATGACCTGAGCCCAGGGCAGGCACTTAACTGACCAAGCCACCTAGGCATACACACACACCCGCCCCCTGCCCCACTGCAATTCCCTCTGCAAAATACTCATGCAGACTTCCAAACTCCTACTTGTTGGAACTGTGGCCACACAGCTGCTTTGCCTACAGCTCAGGGCCCTTGGGTTCTGCCCTGAGTGGAGGTACATCAGGTACATCACACACAGGTGTGATGGGGAGTGACCTGGGAATGAACAGAATAGACCTTCACCTGTTATGTTCGGTGAAGGGCCACCAGATGTCTCTGCCACAGGTACCCCACTACAAGATGCCATGGAAAGAAAGAGAACCCCACGAGCCTGGTGAAACATTCCAAGCATGAGTCCTGGCTTCGTGGTTTGCTGTCATATTTTTAGCAAATGACTCACATGATCTATACCAAAATTTCCTCACCTCTAAAATAGAGTGATCAGCCCGTATGCCCACTGCAGAGAGGAAACTGCTATACTATAAAAATCAGTATCAGAAAAAGGCACTGTATTCATTACTGGGAGGTTTAGGGGACTTAGGGGGAGTGGTAGGAAGCCATTCTGAACTCTTAGAAGCCCTTTGGGACAGCCCTTTGTCACCCTGACAGGACACACAGCTAGGTGTGGGATGTGGGACACAGGATGGGTGGGTTCTGGTGGGCACAGAGTTAGGATGGAAGGTTCACCCAGAGTCTGGAATGCCAACCCAGAGAGTGTGGCATGGCCCAACCAATACCCATTTCTATGTGGTTGTTGACTGTCAAGGTGATATTTGTCACATATCCAATATGTAGAACAAACACTTAAATTGTTTACCATTTAAGTGAATCGTCCCATTGCTAATGGGTAGGAATTACTGCTGTAACGTGATTCGGCCTTCAGATACTGCCAGGGTCACCTGTGAATTCCTTTCCTTCCCTCTCCTGCATGTCTTGGCTAACTGCCCTTGCTGCTTGTTCTCTGCCCATTCCTCAAGCGTCCCTGGCAGCTGGCATAGCCTCAGGATCCCCCCATCAGCCCTGTTGTTGTCCCATTTTATACTTCTCCCTGAGAGCCCCCCGTCCTTCAGCTGTCCTCCTGTGCCACTAGCCATCCAACCTCCAAATCTAGCAACTCCCATATTCCTGACTGCCAGACTTTTCCTCTTGGGCAACTTGCTACAAACTAAGCATGGCCCAGATGGCACAGTTAGCAGGCTCCCCTCAGCTGGGGGTGGGGGCAGGGAGGCTGCTGTTCTGCTGCTGTCACTGTCAGCCCAAGTGGCATTCCTTTATGACACCAAGGATTCCCATGTTGTCAGGTGACAACCAATGGCTCACCATTGTCAGACCTGCAGCCAAAGCTGAAGTGTGGCTTGAGGTGGCCCTGTGCTTCTTAGACTCATACAAAGCTGCAGCTGCAGGCAGTAAGAACTGACAGCATAGTTCAGGACTCCACACTTTCGAGGTATCCCTAAAGGACAAACTCTCCAGGGGACAGACTGAATGAGGAAACTTGGCTCCAAAAAGCTGTGCCTGACATCCTCTTAATCTTGTATTGCCATACTTCCCAAATAATAATAAAAACAGAATATAGCTAATATGAAATGTTAACCCCCTACTAGGCTCTGTTGTGTATTACCCTAAGGCACAGGTTAAGCAAATCAGCCTGGTTGAGGAAACTGAGACACAGAATCATGGCAGCTAGCTGTCGATACTGTCATCACTGTGCTGGTGATGGAGCCAAGTTTGAACCCAGACAGCCTGGCTCCAGAAGCCACCCTCCTAGCTCCTAACCATCCACCTCCATGGCAAAGTCATGACCAAGCTGTGTATAAAATGTTTTGGGTATACCCAGAGAATGGCCACACCCATCTGGGGTAACCAGATAGTGAGGTCCTCAAATGCAGGTGATGCTTAGGACATGTAGCAGTTGGCCGCCTAATAAATTCTCAAATTGACTCTAGACTGCCCACTTGGATGATGCAGGTCTGGGTGTCCTTTAGACCAAACTCCCTGCTTCTCACTTCTCTCCAGCAAGTAGTGATTCTGTAATAGGTAGCCGTGTTCTCTGGTGAGAGTATTAATCAAGACCAAACCTCTGTAGACTTTAAATATCAAAGGAAAAGATAAAGAGATTGGCAATCTTTGCTGGAAATTAAAGACCCAAATCATAACTTTGGCCTCAGTGAATCCCAAGCTGTCCAAGAACATAGTTAATCTGCGGTGTCTTTTTCTGATCCTGTTCTAAAATCTTCCTCCTGCCCCATGCTGCCCCTGCCATGTCTTACACACCCTCATCCTTAACATTATAGTTCTTTTTCTCCAACAACCAATAAAGCATTATAACTGTCACTTCACATGAAAAACTGATCAAAAGAGGAACCTGAATGCTCCTCCATCTGCATAAATGAATGGCCTTTCCAAGTGTGTGTAGTCACAGCATCTCAGTTCCCTGTGGTTTGGTTTCCAGGGGAACGGAGAACCATTGTGTCCTGCACACGGATTGTTAATAAGACCACAACACTGGTGAATGACAGTGACTGTCCTCAAGCAAGCCGCCCAGAGCCCCAGGTCCGAAGATGCAACTCACATCCATGCCAGTCACGGTAAGGAGCTCTGTTCTCAAGCTTGGACCCTCCAGGGTCAGGGCAGAAACCCCCATGAGTGGGGGGCAGTGATACACAGTTAATACCACAGTACCCCTCTATGCCATGTTCTCTTGTTGCTAAGTGACTTCTGCTTGCTCAAAGTACTGAATATCTGGCTACTAAGCCAGAAGTCTGAAAAAATGTACAGTCCTAGCTGGAAGGCATTTTTAGCAGGCCACTAAGAACATCTCATGGAGTAAAAAAAAAAATCACATACTTTCAACTGGTACATGTAGGCTCCCCCAGGTTATTTTGTCTTGGAAGAAAAGGCAACTTAGGGCAGTCCGGGTAGCTCAGCGGTTTAGCGCCGCCTTCAGCCCAGGGCGTGATCCTGGAGACCCAGGATTGAGTCCCATGTCAGGCTCCCTGCGTGGGGCCTGCTTCTCCCTCTGCCTGTGTCTCTGCCTCTCTCTGTCTCCCTCCCTCCCTCCCTCCCTCTCTCTCTCCCTCCCTCCATCCCTCCCTCTCCCTCCCTCTCCTCTCTGTGTATTTTCATGTCTAAGTAAATAAAATCTTAAAAAAAGAAAAGGAAAATTCAGTCAGAATGTAAGCATCCATGAGTAAGGCACACAGGTTAGTGTTTGTGATCGGTTGGTTTTGGCAGCTGAAACTAACAACTGTGAGCATGGATTTGGGTGTTCATTGCTTGGAATCCACCAGAATTTCTGTTCCTAACCCCAGCTTCCTTGGCCCTGTCATTTGTGCTCTGAAGTGAATTTTCTTGGGTTGTCAACCAAGATGAATTGTGTGAAGCTTGCTCGTCAGTTAAGCTTTCTTATTTCCAGTCATTTTTAGTGAGACTTTGCATTATACTGTGATTGTTTGAGCATGTAATATCACCTCTGGCCTCCCATTCTGCTCCCAGTTGAGGTGCATGATTTTTGTTTTGTGGTTCTGTGCCTAGTTTTCTTTTATAGAGAAGCTGGACTTTGGACTGGCAGTTAAGCTCAACTCAGGCCTCTTGCCTGGTGCAAAAGTTTCACAAAGCACATGGTTTTTGTGCCAACCCCCTTTGCTTTGTCAAATTGGCAAAATGTGGGTGGTTCAGCGATTAAGCATCTGCCTTTGGCTCAGGGCGTGATCCTGGAGTCCCGGGATCGAGTCCCACATTGGGATCCCTGCATGGAGCCTGCTTTTCCTTCTGCCTATGTCTCTGCCCCTCCCTCTCTCTGTGTCTCTCATGAATAAATAAGTAAAATCTTTAGAAAAATAAAAAATAAATAAAAATTAAAAGATTGATAAAATGTGAGTAGGAGAAGGAAAATAGGAAAGCAAGAAGCAAGACTTATTTCATTAGTTGTATGTGGTCCTTAGCAAAATAAGAATGAAGGTGGGTGGGAGGATGGGTGAAATGAGTGAAGGGGATTAAGAGTGGATCTTTCAGTCACAAAATAAATAAGTCATGGAGATGAGAGAGACAGCATAGGGAATATAGTCAATAAGATGGTAGCAGTGTTGTTTGAAGACAGATGGTGGGTACACTTAATGTGGTGAACATTGAGTAATATATAAAATTACTTAATCATTATGTTGTACATGTGAAACTAATATAATGCTATATATTAATTATACTTCAGTTACATATATGGCCCACATCTTAATTCTATTGAACGGCATGGCTATAGGTTAACATAGCACTCACAATGTTCAGGATAGAGTCCAAAATTACCAGACATAGGAAAAAAAAAACAGAGAAATGTGAGCTTTCAATGTGCTACCCTAACATTGAAGGCTATGAGCAACAGCTCACTTTAGAAAGCCTTCTTGAACATCTTGGCTATGAGTGGCCAGCCCACAGGCTCATGAATTGATGAATGGGTCAACCACAGACACCTGGGGTCAAAGAAGGAAGGTCTTGCCACTGTGACTATTCAAAGATAAAACAGCCCAGCTCTGTAACATATTAGAAAGTAGGATGAGTGAATCTAGAAGAGGGGAGGTCATCATGTTCTCTTGCATGACTAAGCAAGAAAGATCTTAGGGATCCATTCAAGAATCATATTTTCAAATTGTTTATGTTTTCAAACTATTTTAGTGTCCAAATATTTAAGTTATGGACATAAACCAAATAACATAAAACATGAAATCAGAGTTGCGCTAATTGAATTGAGACACATATATAATGGGGAAGAGTGCATTCTGCCCTCCCTCACACCACAGTAGGCCCAAGGAATGGATTAAGGAATATAGTTTAAAAAACGACCCAGGATTCCATAATGATGGGGTTGCTTTTATTGGACCAACCCTCAATATTCTTCACTAATAGTACTCTTAACTATGCTGATCATGTACAGTATTTGGTAGCCACTAGCTAGTCCAAACTGAGATGTGCTATAAAAGTAAAAATATACTCCTGATCTCAAAGATTTAGTACAGAAAGAGATTATAAAATATCTTAGTGATTTTTAATACTGATTACATGTTGGAATAACTATGCTTTGAACTTACCAGGTCAAATGCAATATGTTATTACAATTAAATTCACCAGTTTCTTTTTAATTTTTAATATGGGTAGTAAAAAATTAGAATTACATATATGGCCCACATCTTAATTCTATTGAACGGCACGGCTATAGGTTAACATAGCACTCACAATGTTCAGGATAGAGTCCAAAATTACCAGACATAGGAAAAAAAAAAAAACAGAGAAATGTGACCCATACATTAATGGAAACTGACTCTAAAATGACACATGTATTGAGATTAGCAGACAAGAATTTTGAAGCAGCTATTATAATTATTCTCAAAGACATAGAAAAAATATAGTCACAGTCAATGAACACATAGAAAATCTAAGCACAAAAAAGAAACACTAAAAATGAACCAAATTTTAGGACCAAGAAACATAGTGTATGAATTTTTTTAAAAAATAGGCCTAAGAGCAGATGATTGAAAAAAAGACCAATTTGAAAGTAGAAGAATAGAGATGATCCAGTCTGGAAAATGGAAAGAAGAGATTGTTGACAATGACAGAGACTCAGTGATCTGTGGGATGATATCCAACATTCTAACATAAGTGTAATTAGAGTTGGAGAAGAGGAGGAAGGGAAGAATAGAGCAGAAAATAATCAGAGACAATGACCAAAAATCTCCCAGGTTTAGTGAAAGACAGATGAGAGGTGATTAGGTCACATCTTGAGGAGTTCACTCAATTCCAGATGAATTTAAAGCTCCATGACAGAGCTCTCTAATTGTTATACCATGTAGGACAAAGCAGCAGCTTTATGATTTTGCCACACATGGATTTTTCTAGATGGGGACTTTGTTGCACTGTAGAACTACACAGAAAATCGTGTAAGAAAACACCTCCAAAAAAGTCACATCACCAAGCATGAATTAACAAAGGTATTGGGACACCTGGGTGGCTCAGTGTTTCAGCGTCTGCCTTTGGCTTAGGTAATGATCCTGGGGTCCTGGGATGGAGTCCTACATCAGGCTCCCCAAGGGAGTCTGCTTCTCCCTCTGCCTATGTCTCTGCCTCTCTCTCTCTGTGTCTCATGAATGAATGAATGAATGAATAAATAAATAAATAAAATCTTTTAAAAATAAAATAAAACCACAAAGGTACAAACTCTTCAAAACAGTGCTACAGAGCATCTCTAAGCTTCGATGAAGACTACTGAGTGTGAGGGTGGGGGACAGAGGGGGGACTCCAGATTGCTCACAGAGCATTCTGACAGACCACAGGTCTGCAGTCTTAACCATGGTTGAACACAGGTTCAATCCAAACACATTTTAGACTGCAAGTAAGTTCAGAAGCACATTCTCAGTGTCTCCTTAGAATAAGGGTAAGCAAACCTTCTCTGTAAAGGGCTAAATAATAAGTATGTTGGGTTTTACAGGCCGCATATTGTTTCTGATGTCTGTTTCTCTTTGTTTTGTTTATACCCCTTTTTAAAAATGTAAAAACCATTTTTAACTCCCCCATTGCACAAAAACAGTCTGTAGGCCAGACTTGGCCCATGAGCCATCCTTTGCTGGTCCTGCCTTAAATTATCACTTACCCTTGTCTTACCCTCAGAGATGTTGGACTTTTTTTTTTTTAAGATTTTTCATTTATTCATTTATACAGACAGAGAGAGAGAGAGAGAGAGAGAGAGAGAGGCAGAGACACAGGCATGGGGAGAAGCAGGCATCACACAGAGAGCCTGACGCGGGACTTGATCCAGGGTCCCCAGGATCACGCCCTGGGCTGCAGGCGGCGTTAAACCGCTGCGCCACCCGGGCTGCCCCCTCAGAGATGTTGGAACCACAATCTCAGCACAAGCCCAAGCTCTAAAGGTACTACCTCAGGAAATGTACACTCTTATACAAAGAAGCACATGTCATTATACTGAGTTACTTTTTATTGTCCAGTTGTCCAGTACCCTATTTATTTATTTTTAAGATTTTATTTATTTATTCATGAGAGACACACAGAGAGAGGCAGAGACACAGACAGAGGGAGAAGCAGGCTCCTGCGGGGAACCTGATAAGGGACTCAATCCCAGGACCCTGGGATCATGACCTGAGCCGAAGGCAGACACTCAACTGCTGAGCCACCCAGGCTCCCCCCATTACTCTTTTTAAAAGCATCTAGCATGACTCTGAGCACACAGCACAACATCAGTGATATCCTTCATCCAACATGTACTTTCCCATTCACCAGGCCCTGTTCTGGCTACCAAGGTATTTAGAGGTGAGAAAGACATGCAAGGTCTTTGCTCTCATGGAAATTGATAGATACCAGCTTTCTCCCTCCCCTCCTTTCTGACCTACCTTTCTGGATCATCTGCTTTTCCTTCTTGACCCACATCCTTCCATACCCTCCCTGATTCTGTAAAATCATACTAATCAGTCTTAAAAAATGAGTGGAATTTCTAAAAGCAGAGGATAAAATGAAATTTATAGAAGACAGCACCTGAAATTTGTCTCAGAGCCAAGGGGAAAAAGAAATGCTTAGTTGCCTCTCTAGTCTG